TATATCTTCATCAACCTGGTGCGGACCCCTGTCCTACGCCGGATCTCCTTCTGCCTCTGCTTTGTATGGTTAGTCAGCTCTTGTGCTTGCACAAAGAGGAAGCTGAGACTATGACATGAAGCAGCCTGCAGCAAGTAAACCAGGCATGAATTTGCTGAGGAATGGGGCAAATAATGGATTTTCTGACCCGCAGGCAATTCCGAAAAATCAGTACAAAAAAATCATTTTCGGTTGAACAGAAAACCATTTTTTTCTTAATTTTTGACTAATCAAAAAGTTGATAAAAAAAATCAAGTGAAACATTTTGTTTTGATTTTAAATATTTAAAGATTTTTTAAAAATAAAATTAAAGAAATGTTTGACACAAACATTCATTTTGAACCAAAACAGAAAACATTTAGATTTTATTTTGTTTTGGTTTGGTTTTGTGGGGCTTTTTTTTTTATCTGAAACAATTCAGCAAAAGGGACATGAATTCCCTAAACATTTTGATGTCATTGAGTCTGCATTTTGTGCTGAAAAATGTTTTAGATTAAAAATTTTGCTCAGCTCTACTAAGCCCCACTGACGCTCCACTTCATCCCATGGCATGTCAGTGACAGTCAACTTCACCTCGATTGAATATCCCACTAGATCAAAATTCAGTATGTTATAGCTAGACTTCGGTAAATCCCACTTGGGAGACAGCATGTAGAGAAAACCATCAGGAGGTGATTCTACCCAGAAGCAGTGATAGGACTCAGGAGTCCTGCCTCCTATAGTCACCTATTCCTAGTCCTAGGACACATTCCATGTGCAGAGCTGGGAAAAGAACCCAGGAATCCTTGGTGCCTAGTGTGTCCTGTTCCAGCTATTGGCCCCCATTCCTCTCTGAGAGTTAACAGAGCAAAGTCCCCTCTTGCTCTAACCACTAGGCCCCACTCTTCTTCCAAAGCTGGAAATAGAATCTGGGAATCCTGGTTCCCAGCTGCTCCCCAGTCTAACTCATTAGACCCTAATCTCCTCCCACAGCCATGAACAGAACACAGTGCAGTCTACCCACTAGACTACACTGCCACCCAAAGCAGTGAAGAGAACCCAGGGGCCCTGACTCCAACCACTAAACACATTTCCAGGGCCTAGTGCTGAAAGGGAACATGCGTGTAACAAATAAACTCAATGATAAGGTCCCTCTAGGCATCAATACATGTCTGCTTCACCAAGGTTCTCCATCAGCTTTGCCTATTATGGGATGGCCACGGACCTGCAGAATTTCGGTGTCAATATCTTCTTGATCCAGCTGGTCTTAGGAGCTGTTGATTTCCCAGCGAAGTTCATCTCAGTCCTCACAATCAGCTTCAGCGGGCACCGGTTCACATGGGCCTTGACCCTCATCCTGGCTGGACTCTCTATCCTAGCCGACATCTTTGTCCCACAAGGTGGTTACTTGTTGTCCTGGATTTTCAGGCTTAGATCCGGAAGTGTTCAAGCCTTTGTCCTACCAAAGGTCCAAAGCCTGGCTGATATGGTCAGCTGTAGGGGAGGGAGAAGAGCCAGGAGAGCTGATCCATAAGGGCTAATGGGGCTCAAGCCCACGGATATGTCACAGCTGTGTTCTGTGGCTGAGGTACTGCAGGGTACAGAACCACCTGTTGCTGCCAGGGATTGAAGCAGCTGACACGTGTTTATGACACCAGTTGCCATGGCACTTCCCCATGAAGCAACCTGAGAGACATATTCAGCCTGATCCAGGCTGGCCTGTTGCAAGATGGTTGCGAAGTGGATGAGCCGCTGTCTGGGAGGGGTGACAGACACAATTTCACAAACCAATCCGGGAAGATGGTTATTAGTATTTGATCGAGGTGCTGCACAGACCCCAAATAACATAGGGGCCCCATTGTGCCGAGCACTGCACAGACCTAAAGGGAGAGAGAGGCCCTGCCCCAAAGAGCTCACAATCTAAATAGACACAACACAGAAAGGACTATCACTCTTATTTCTAGATGGCAAACTGAGGCACAGATCCTAAGCTGGTGTCAATTAGCCCAGCTCCATTGATTTCTTGCCCCCTTTGTCTTTAATGGAGCAGCTGGGGATCTGGCCCCATTGACTCCATTACAGCTATGCTGATTGACAGCAGCTGGGGATACATCCCATTGGCCCGTCTTGAGCATTTCAGCCTTTTTCCACGTGCTTAACCCTCCTCCATTGTGTGCTTCTCCCAAGATCTGAAGACCCTGCGCACCATTCTGGCTGTCATTGGAAAAGGCTGTCTTGCTGCCGCCTTTAACTGTGTCGTCCTCTACATGAGTGAGCTGTACCCCACAGTGATTAGGTATGTAGAAAAAACTCAGAGGGTGCAGCTCAAACTTCACATGCAGCCCCGTGGAAGAGCAAAAGACCAGAGCCAAGTGACTAGTGATTAGAGTTGGTTGGGAATTTTTCATCAAAATGTATTTTTCTGACGGAAAAAGCTATTTCATCAAAGCCAAAGCTTTTCACGGGAAAGTGTTGGTTGGAAAAAGTGCGGGGGGTGGGGGTGTGGGTGGGTTTGGAAATTACATTTCCAAAATGAAAATTTGTTTTTTCTGGTTAGAATGTGTATTAAAAACAATAACCCTTTTTTGTACAAATTCATAAATAGAAATCGAAATGAAATGATGTTAGGGACCCAAACCAAGATTTTTTTTATACTGTTGAATTCACAACAATTTTTTGAAATTTCAATGGTTCGTCCTGATTCAGAATGGAAAAAAATGTTTGAAATCTCAAAATGTATCATGGGACAGGATAACAATTTCCCGACCACTCTGCTAGTGATTTTGGGCACCTCAGGGGATGCCCACGTAGGACACCGCAACTGGGCCTCATTCTCTGCAATTGCTGAGGATGTGCCATCTAAAAAGTGAGGGCCCTCTGAGGCGTCTCAGTCTAGCCACCCAAAATTGCCCTTCTAGGAACTAGGAATTGCCACATGATATCAAAGATCTAGCTAGCTCCGTCCCAGGTGCAAGAAATCCTGTACTTGTGTGGTAATCTGCACCCAGGAAAGATCCTATTTGTTAAATTAGCACCTAGAGACCACACCAGAGCCCCATGGTGCCAACTGCTGCACAGACCCTGACTGAGATCAGATCCCCATTGTATAAGGCACTGCACAGACCCAAATTGAGATTAAGGCCCTATTGTGCCAGGTGGTGCCCAGACACACAGTGACAGCAGTCTCTGCTCTTCACAATCATAATAGACAAGACAGACTGAGGGTGTGAGGGGAAAGAGATGAATGGAGAGAGGAAGTGACTTGCCCAAGGTTACGCAGTGGGTCAGTGGCAGAGCAAGGAAAAGAACCCAGGTGTCCTGACGCTACTAGTCCATAGGGCCTGGCTGAGAGGTACTGCTTGGCTTATTGCCTGTCAGCTCCTTAGCTCAGGTTTTTCTCATCACTGTGGCTTATGCTAATAGCTCTGTTTGTTATGATTTCAAATTCACAGGCAGACCGGCATCGGTTTGAGCAACACCATGGCGCGCCTGGGCAGCATCACTGCCCCATTCGTGAAGATGTTGGATGAATACATTCCCTTCCTGCCACTGATCATTTATGGAGCTGCCCCAATCATCTCCAGCATTGCAGCGACCTTCCGGCCCGAGACGCTCAACATGCCATTGCCTGAAACCATAGAGGAGGCGGAGACACGGTTAGTAGAATCTATAGGGAGGCAAGAACAGTAGCCATCACACACCTTTTGGGAGTTTTGTGAGAGAGGGGAGGAGAGCAAGAGAGAGAGAGAGAGAGAGAGAGCACAAACTAGAAATGATATGTATGATTAGATAGATAGTTAGATAACCTGATCCCATTGACTCCAGTGTAGCTATGGCTGGTTTACACCAGGTGGGATTTGGCCCCATTAGGTCCAAACACGTTTTAAGCCAAGTACATCTCTTGATGTTTGTATAAATGTTAATATTTACTGATATTCTTTTTCATTGAGGCCCAGGCATCTGAGAGATGAAGAACAACAAATGAAGATCTTCTGAAACCCACCATGCCAGACCCAGCCAAGGAAACCACTTAAGGAAAGAAAAACAAGCAACTGTTGTAGGGGCTATGGGTACAATTTTCAAAAGTGCCTAAGTGCTTTAGGAGCCTATGTTGCATTTTCATGAGTGACTTAGCCTCTCCCATGAGAGTTAGGTGCCTCACCTATCTGAGCACTTCTGAAAATCCCACTGGGCACTTATCTGAATCTCTTGGTATCTAAATACCTTAGAAAATGTGGCTCCCAATCACTTTTGAAAGTGGGGGCTTAGGCACTTTTGAAGAGTCCGCCCTATCTCTTTTACTGTTTTAATCATGTTTTAATCAGTACTATCCAGGCATCAGTGACAACTCCATAGGGGTTGAATTTTGCACTTAATGCAGGGAATCAACCTCTTCAAACAGCATGTTGACCTCCAAATCACAGCAGGAATTTATACCACGGGACCTGCTGCTGTGCAAGGTGGGGGACACAAATCAACTACACTATGTAGCTCCTCCATGTAGTTCAAAACCCGGTGTTGCACTCTGCTGGGATCCAACATATGGTACCCAAGAGCTCAGCAAATACTTTCGGGCCAGATCCTCAGCACGTGTTAATCCACATAGTTGAGGATTGGCCCAATACTGCAGGACAATCATGTGGTGGCAATTCTTAAGGAAATTCTGTAAGAATATGTACAGAAATGGTGGCAGAATATAGGAACTGCTGGACTGATCACAGCCAAGATCCATGTAGTCTCTCTGACAGTGGTCAGCAATAGATGCCTTAGAGGAAGGTGTAAGAAATCTGCAGTAGG